GGACTTGTACGGGCGGGCAAATGAGAGTTCGTCAAATTACTTACCGGTATCCCAACATGAGTGCTGACGGAGTCATGTACGAAAAAGTTGACATAAATGATGATGACGATGCGAACATGATGATACAGTTCATATCTGAGAACGGGGTGCGGCTTGCAGAGGTGTATGTCGAGACCGAGCCGGTCGGTGAAACTCATTCTCACCAGTATTCTTATGATGATGGTTTTGCAGGAGGGTATGGCTGGGGTGGTAGTTCAAGTAACTACAGAGCAGGTTCTTCTGCCGGAGGGTATGGTTGGGGAGGTACTTCAAGCAACTACGGAGGAGGTAGTTCTGAAGGAGGTGTTGGGTGGGAAGAATACCTGCCACATGGTGGTGAGACTGCCGTCGATATCGTTCCCCCCGACGGTGATCAATGGCCTGCTTGGGGTCCAGAGTGGGGTGACATTGAAAACACCCTTCGATCTGGGCGTACTTCACATGACCAAGAAGGCGATGCTGGTTATGCTGGTAACGATGACCATCCTGAGCCGAGTTATCCATTCGCCTCCAGTGACGATGAAAGTGAGGAAGATTTGAGATCAGTCAGTGAGGAGGAAGATACGGACGATATCGACGAGATCGATGACAGTGAGGTGGCGTTCCGTCAGGCACCAACGCCTTACTACACAGAGGTTCCTGATCAATTTTTATATGGTCAGAACGATGCCCCTGACTTTCGGCCCATGCCTGTGTATAATCCGACTGCTAATTTGGAAGTGGGTATGGCGTTCACTTCGAAAGCCGATGTGCAAGACGCTTTTAGCGAAGAAGCCATGCGGCGTAACTTCGAATGGAAGGTAAAATATTCTGACAAGGGACAACTACATGTCATTTGTAAGAATGCTGGAGAGGGTTGTATGTGGCAACTTCGTGCTGCATATATGAAGAGAAAGGGCGTCTGGGTCATGCGGACAGTAGAGAACAACCACAGTTGCTCCTCAACCATACTTTCACAGGATCACCGGCAACTGAAAGCAAAAAAAGTGGCAAGAACCATTAAGCACCTTATCGAGGCACAACCAGATATCAAGATAAAAGCTATCATGGCGGAGGTGAAGGATCGACACTCCTACACCATAAGGTATAAGAAGGCGTGGCATGGGAAGCAGAAGGCCATGGCTGAGGTCTACGGTGATTGGGATGACTCGTATGCTTTACTCCCCCAGACTAATGTCCGCAATGGAGGAGTCCAACCCTGGGACGGTTTTCGTGCCTTGGTACAACAACGTAGAAACTGAAGATCAAGTTCGAGTACAGAACGAGTTGATGTTTCATCGTCTGTTCTGGACATTCAAGCCATGCATTGACGGGTTTCCCTTCTGCATGCCAGTGATTCAGGTATATTACGGACTCAAAATATTGTACTATTTCATTACTTTACTAATTTCAATTTCTACTAACTCATTATTCATTTTTAACAGGTTGATGGAACTTTCCTTACTGGGAAGTATAAAGGAACTCTTCTTATTGCCACTGGGGTTGATGGAAATTTAAGTATTTTTTCCTTAGCATTTGCATTAGTTGAAGGGGAGAACAACCTAAGTTGGGCATGGTTCTTTGACCAGCTACACGCCCACGTCACAAAGAATGGGTATTACAATTATATCAGATCGACATGCCGGGATTAAACACGCCGTCCGTGGTTTCCCGGACGAATGGGGATGGACATGGCGTTGGTGTATTCGTCACTTCCTAGCCAATTTCCAACACAAATTTTGCAAGAAGAAAGACATAAGAGATCAATTGTGGAGTGCAGGTAGTAATGTAATTCAGTGCTTGTTCATGGTTTATTGTTCAAATGAAATTTCTTATGGCTTAATTATTAATTCTCCGGTTTTGTAGCGGTTGCACATCAACCAAAAAAGTACGAGCAGAAGATGAAGACGATCCGTCAAATACACCGGGCGGGAGCAGTATGGGCAGAAGGTCAAGATCTGCACATGTGGACATTTCACATGGACAACGAGGCTAGATTTGGAATTGCAACTACCAACCATGGACAGAGCATAAATGGAGTCTACAAGGGCATTAGGGCAATGCCTGTATCTGTCCTAGTTGAGATGACATACTGGAAGGTAAACGAGTGGTTTGTGAAGAGGCGGGATGCTGCTATTGGGAGGGAGCGTGCTGGTCATTCAATAGCTAAGCATATATTTGATGGCATGCAGAAGATCGAAGAGAAATCAAGCAAGCACATAGTTGTTATGTTCAACCGCAATGAAGGTATTTTTGCTGTGCAAACAGGTATTTGGGGTGGAGGAAGACGTGGGCATAATCGTCAATCTGTTACTGTACACGTAGAAACGCGCACCGGAGAGTGTACATGCCAAAAGTATCAAAACAGAAGAGTACCTTGTTCACATGCAATGGCAGTAGCTAAGTCGATAACCCTCAGTGCTTACAGTTTGGTTAGTCCTTACTACACGGAACAGGCGATCAGGAACTCCTACTCGTCAAGTTTTAGCCCCCTGCCGGATGAAACTTATTGGCCTGTAGACAATGGGAAGTTGATTATCCCACCGTTACACTTAAAGCGCACCAAAGGTCGTCCTAGGACCGAAAGGATTCACAATGAAATGGACCAATCACAACGTGCCCGACGGGGTCCAAAGCGTTGCTCAAAGTTGAAACACCCCAACCCGGCCGGGTACTAATTTTACTAAAATGCCCTTGATGACTCATAAACCAAAATAAGAAACGAAAGACTTGTGAAAAAAATGGAAGCTTTCCATAAATAACCATAACAAATACTGAAGTGAACTGAAATCTCTTAAAACAAAGCCCTAACACTTGGGTAAACCTCAACCATAGAATCTTAATCTGAATCTCCAGTCACTACTCATAATCGTAAATCAATAACTAAAACTCTACTTTGTTGTCTGCTCGGATTCGATCTCTGGCACCTCCAGTGATGCTTGTACTATCCTCCTCTAATTGGCTTGCCTCGAACAGCTTTCTCGATCTCGCTGCTCACTAACTGCTCCTCTAGCTGCAACTATCGATCTAGTTCTCGCTTATTCCTTTACTAAGTCCTGGTGAGTGAGATGGGGTCAGTCTACGCCCTTACGTTTTAATAATTCTAATACTTGAGTACTTTACTTAAACACTTGACTTTGGCTAGTGGAAGTTGTTTGTACTTCCAATCTTAAAATCTTAACTCTTAAACTTTGAGGGAGTTGAAGTTACTCTCCTCTCTTAAAGCTCAAATCTTGACTTAAATACTTGACTGACACGGGGATCCCTCACTAGCTAGTCCGGTTGCCAACTCATATGTATGAGAAGCCATCCAGGCTTTCCTTAAACTTAAACTTAGTTAGGGGAGTCGTAACGATTCATCCCCCTAACATCTTAAACTTATCGTGGTGGCTCTTCACCACGATTCTCAAGAGCATAACTGCTGCTCATCTTAAAAGTCTCAAGAGCATAACTGCTGCTCTATCTCAAAATGTCTCAAAAGGCAACGGACTGGCGCTAGTGACTAAAAACACTTAAAACGACTTCACCTTCTTGAAGGTGAGTTACTTCTTAAAAAGACCTTGTTTCTTACTCTTTAATAATAACTTATACTCGTAAAAATTTCAAAGTAATTAATAAACATTCACTTCAAGCACAACTCAAACAAAATCACCTCAAACCGTAACTCAAGCAAAGCACAACTGATCAATCATACACATAACCAAGCAACGATAACCAATTCGCTAAAATACTTAAAATCATAAAACATAAAAGAATACGTAAGGCGTAGAATTTACCCCCTTTACACTCACCTCACTATCCGTTGTCGCTTCTCATGGTAACTCGATATCCTTCATCTGAATGTTAAGATCCCTCTTCCTTCTCGACGCATGACCAGTTCTATACACAAGAGTTCAAGTAAGTGGTTTACATCTTGTGAAGCTTGCAGCCAAACCCATGAGTCACCAACTCCCCACGTGTAAGCAACATATATTGCCACCCCACAATTATCTCTACATGCTTCCCAGTTCACTTTTAACTACCTCGCATATAGATTTCCATCCAAGCATCCACAACCTTCCAACTCCTTTTCTCCAAGCTTCTTGCCTTCATAGTCTCGACCAACAGTAACTTGGAAGTGTCCAAATCATGAAGTTGCTCCCTCAATTGCGCAATCTCAGCATCTCTAGCCCCAGTTTGTATCTTCCTTCCCCTCCACCGAGTGAGTACCCACACAAAAGAAGAAGAACCCTCCTCTGCCAAAACCCACAATTGGTAATTTCTATTTTGTTGATCAACCTTTGCGATACCCTAAACCGAAAGCTGCAACGAATTTGGAAATAGGGGAGGAGGTAGAACGCTCGGATCGGGACGATTCAAATGGCATTCTCGCACGGGAAGATGAAAAGAGGTTTCGGGTTAAGGGTAAGCGGCGGAAAAATTAAGTGCCGCCCTGGGGTAATTAGGGTTAGCTTAGCTTTGGTTTAATTTCCTCGGGGTTATTCTTGGAATTTCCTAATTACGTTTGAGTTTAATACGAAACTCAAATAATGCCCGTAACTTTCTCATTTTATGTCGAAATTCGACACCGCTTGAACCGTTAGTTCACATTTTTAATCCTCATCGATGATACGGTGGAACCTGACCCAAGGGTATAATTGTCATTTTGGCTTTTGGGACGAGCGGGGTGTAACAAAAGTGCAGACAACCGGGTCATGACAAGAGGCGTTGCCCAGGTCCACCTCTAGAGCAAGATTCTTTAATCACAAATAGTAGTAGTAGTAGTAGAGATAGGTAGATACAGTAAGTAGGCTTTAGGGGCGGAGAAATGCCCTACTCTACTCACCCTATCTTGAGCCAAAAAGGGGACACTTTTTTCGGTAATCAACTAATCATTTTCTTGAAGACCCACATTTTAAAGCAGATTGGATATCGTCCTACGCGGACGGCCCGGGTTGAACCCACATTTTTCCTACGGCCCAGATCATTCCCAAAATACCGCCACAAATTCGTCCAGGAAAGTTTCAGTATCCCGCCCTTCTCAAAATTTTCAGTAAAGTAAAAAGCTTCATTCCAATTATCGGGCATCTCTCTCTTCCCTCTTCCCTGTTGCGTTCTCGAGCTTCTCTCTAAACAAGGATGGAGACCGGAGCAAGCAACTGCAGAGAGACAAGCAGGACCTCGGACGGAGGTGAGGGGAACCGCCGACTTGAGAAGACGAAGCCGTCTTCCCTTCTCCGCCCTTCTTCTCTCCACCTTCCGTCGGGCGTCGTCGATTATTCTCTTATCAAGGCGACGGAGTTCATAGCCAAAGGCTGGAACGCGTTGAAGGAAGAGGAAGTGGACAGAGTCATCGATTACTGCGAGCTGAATGACCATCGCCCCATCCCTCACCTCAGAGTAGGGTTCCTCGTCTGTCGCCATGAGCTGTTTTTTTTTTTTTTTTTTGGGTGTGTGTGTGTGTGTGTAGGAATCGGTAATTCAAGGTTAGGTTTTGATGGTTTAGAGCTGCTTTTAGTTGATTATCAGACTGCTAAGGAGAACTTCGAGCTGGCGTTGGAGGCTGACAATTCCAATACTTATGCTAGATACTGGCTTTCTAAGTTGCATTTGAAGTATCTGTTCCTGGTGCTTGTAAAGCTATGTGAGTCAATCCCTTTCTCTTTCGTGTCCTTCTTCCTGAAATTAGGAGTTCACGAGTCCAGTCATCCAGTTTCTAGTTAGCAAATCCGGTGCAATTCGTGCTATTGTAATCAATTTTCTTGTTGATAACTATTCGATCATTTCAGCTTACTTCTTTGCTACTGCCGGTCTTTCAAAGTGTCCATCCTACGTTTGAATACCTGTGTTAGTAGTTGGCTATGGCGTTTTGAACATTTGGTGACTGTTTCCTGCTCGTGATTGTTTTGTTCCAATGGCATAGAGGAGCTGCTTTGTTAGTGGAATCTGGGGAGATGGGTGATCCATGCTCAATAGGACTAGGGTTGTCAACTGCGAGTTGAGGTTAGACCTCTAATACCGATTCTGCAAATTGTGTTAGTTAGATATCATTTGCTGAAAGAAGAGTAAACACAATGCCTGGATGTTGTATTTATACCAAACAGCAAGCAAAACAGTAACACCACTGGCACTCTTTCAATACTCGACAACAGGTTATGATATATTTGCAGAAATCAATAGTATAACTAGATATACAGTTGGTAGAATCATTTAACTAAGTAGCCAGCCCATATTGAAGCTGTAGTAAGGCCCTGGAACTTTTTGTAATGGTTCATGGTGGATGTGGATGCTCCTACTAAATATGCTTATTCTCATTCTAATATCGACTGTCTTTGCCCCTTATTGATAGAATGACTTGGTTCAATCAGATCAACAAGCTTTGTTTTATTTGGAGAAGGCTGTGGACCAGGTATTTTGTTCTGTGATTAGATACTCAACAACAATGCTTCCGTTGTTGCTAATCCTTTCTTCTTTTTATCTGGTATAGTTACATCCAGGAGCTTTATACCTCCTAGGCGCTGTGTATTTGGCTGGAGAATGTGTGAAGAAAGATGTTGCTTCAGCTATATAGTGTTTTTCATCGGGCATCAGAGAAGGTGAATATTTTTATCTACTTAGTAAAGTGGTTGCGACAATTAATTGTGAGTCCTGTGCAAAGTAGGCTGCCTAGTTTCTATGTGGTTTATCAGAGCTGTAGAAAATAGACTGGATATCCAGAACTGATTGAAAGATCTTAACAAGTCTTCCAACTGCCAAATCCCTCAATCAATGTTTCTTTTAAGCTACTGTTGTTGATTAAAGGTTTCAAGTGATAACTTTATTACACTTAGAAGAAATGAGGATCTTATTGAAGTTTCTCCAGTGTAAAACAGCCAACCAGCATCCCTTTCTTTTCTCAACTCCATCTAATTTGAACTGCATTTGCACTGAGCTCTCCTTCCAGAGATCCCTCTAGTATGAACTGCATTTGCACTGAGCTCTCCTTCCAGAGACCCCTCTTTCAATATGAACTCTTACATGGGAAATTTGGTTTGCTTGCCAAAGTTTTTGTAACTTACTTTTAGCTACAATTGTTTAGAGTTGATATTGCTTACCCATAAGAAGAAAAAAAAAGAATTGATATTGCTTAAGTTCTTAGAAGCTCTTTCATTTTACTAGCAACCCAAATGAATCACAACTTCTTCCAATCACAATTTATTGGCAGGGACATGCTGGTGCAGCTATAGCATATGGATCTCTACTTCTTAGAGGTCAGTACATCCCTTGCTGCTCTACATCGCTTTGAAGACTTTACGTCAAATCTTACTAGGGAGCATTTTTCACTGTCATAGAACAGTATTATAAATGCATACCGGTGTGTTTATATGACATCCAAAACCTATTGATAACCTATCTAATTCAATCCCCCGACTCCCATCTATACTCCACTTACGTTTTTGTGACGAATTTTTACATAGGTCGGCAGCAACTTAGCAAGCAAAACCCAGTCGACAAGGTGAGTGCCAAAGTTTATTTCTCAGTTTCATCTGATTAGAATTTTTCGTGGGCTTAGGTTTGATGAATTATCCCCTATCTCCTGTCAGATAATAAACTTGAAGGCATGCATGAATTTCCTTGAGGAGCCAAAGATATCAAATGAGGCCAAAGATCTGATTGGCCACCTACTTTGTGATGTTCATACAAGGCTGGGGACCAGAGGAGTTGAGGAACTGAAGGTAAACTTTTGTCTAGAAAGAATACTTCCCCACCCCCCCTCCCCCCATCTTATCTAGAATCCCTCCTGTTGTGGCTAATTAGAGGGTCACTGATGCTACTAAATATAACCTCAAGTCGTTTCCTTTGCACATAACTCGGTGGAGTTCTTAGGTTTCTTGTAATAACAGATGCTCTTCTTGGTTGAATTAGTGTAGAGATAGATGCTGATTCTTCATTGACTTGCATTACCTGGTTTCAATTCCTTTTTTTTTTGGTCATGAATATATATAAACTAAGTTCTTGTTTGTTTTTTTTTTGTTGCTTCAATTCTTCGCAGGATATGCAGTACACAAGAGAGTGTTGTGACAGCTTACTCTCTGCTGCAGCAATGACGGTAACAGTATTTATGGTTTCTTTATAGGATTAAACTCAATACCCATGATAAGGAATAAATTGCTTCTATATACTGTGATTTGTGGTCTTCTTATGTCTACCTTTCTGCCTAGATAAGGAATAAACAAGATAAGGAATAAACACCAGACCTTCTAGGTTCACTCAAACACTCTTTCTAGGTGCAGTTCTTTGCATTTATCTTTGGATAGAACCTCAAGCACCGTGTTAGGAGATGTTTTCTAGGTGCAGTCTTTTTCTGTAGTTTTCATGTTCTGGATGTGTTAGTAGATAACGTTCCTGTTCTTGTATTTGTTGAGCTTACCAGCTTGATTGTATGCTTAGAACTTATACATTCTTTTGCATGCAGTTATGTGAATGCTCTACTAGATAATGCTCTCATTGTTCAAGTACCCTATAATTTCATATGCTCCTTCGACGTTTAACTGTAGAAAAGGAAGTTATTTTTGTTTCATCGGATGACATGGTGTTTATGCATAACTGCTTTTAGTTATGAATTTTCTCTATAAATCTCGACACAAACCCATGCTTCATTTTAGCGATTGCTTAGCCAACTATCTGTTCTTTTTCTCTACTGGACTAATGAAATGTGATGTCGCTGTCATAATGAAGTGTGATGTTGCCTTAGTTACATGTCCCGACGGGAGCTCAAAGCAAAGCAGAAGTGAGAAGATGGCAAAGAAGGGCTACTGGCACTGTCAGTGATGCAAAACCTGGGGTTGGAGCGCATTTCAGTGAGACAACAGGATTATGTGTGAAGCTGCCAACTGAATCATTCAGCTCTTGACGATATCTGGAACCGAGAAAGATGACAGCTTCACTCTTAGATGATATTGAACTGGTAGTGGTAGTTTGGGTAGTAGAGAATCTGGGACCAAGTTGTCAGAATCGTTTGAATGACTGGATTCTCAATTAGCTCGCTTGATTTAGAACTATTATTGTTTTCTCACCACATTTTTTTATGACTTGCAACAACTAATAGTTTCTCGCTCATTTTGGGTCAGTCTAAATCGTAAGATGTTGAGTTGCATTCTAATTTGTCTCACCTATATTTAGTCAAGATGTGTTTGTGTTGTGAGAATACCTATTTTTTCAATATATCTAATTTGGATTTAGAGTTTAGGGTGCATTTATACATATTTTATACATATACGAGAATAAAAACGTGTATTAATCAACATATTTCATACATATATTAGGTGCATTCGTCTTTTAAACTTACTAGTTTTTTTGTCCGCGCTTCACAGCGATAACAAACTAATAATATATACAATTTTATTCACTTAATCATGATTTAGTTGAAATCGAATAATTCACAAAATTGTTAGGATCAGATACTACAATGAGTTTTATATGGTGTCTTAATCATTACGAAATAAATATACCGTATATTTGTTTAATTGATACATAAGAAATAACTACCAATTGATAAAAATTATGTAGTCTCTTAATCTTATGAAATACATACATCTCTACATAATAACTTCTAGATAATGATCGTATTTGTAATTTATGTAACATTGTTACCATCTTCCATAGCATGTGGTCTAATAATAAAATCAAATTATAGAAATAGATATTTGATTAGACGGTTATGTAAACGTTAACTAACCTTACTGAACCTTTGCATAATGGAAAATGATAACATGGTCAATCTTTTATTTAGTTACTAATGAAGGAATTTTAGTTAGTAATGAATGGATTATGTTACGAAAAATATCATATTTGATTACACTATTAGTATTATGTGAAAAATAATTTACATTACAAAACCTTTGTGGAATGCAATACACAAATTTTTTATACGGTATGATCTAATAATAAAATCAAATTATGAACTATCCCATCAAGTTACAAAAAGTATCACTTATTCACATTTGATTAAACCTTATGTAAACATTAACTTACAAATCCATTATGTAATGAAAAATTGATGATATTGTGAATATGTTAGTTAATAATATTGGATTTTTTATTAGTAATAAATTATGGGCCCCCAACTTCTTGGGCTTTGCACGGAATTAATCTACTCACAACCACATTAATAGATACTAGGATTCAGCCCGCGCTCTGCTGCGGGATACTATTTCTGTCATAATTTAAATGGGATTTAATATAATCTATTACCATAATTGTTATGTCCCAAACGTAGACATAAATGTTGTCATTGTCATAAACATAAAAACTGCGGTCATTATGCAAAAGAGTGACTGTGTTTGTAGAATAAACATGAATGTAGTTAGGAGTGTTGCCAAGTCTCCACGATATATCTACTAAACTAATAAAAGTTCCATGGCGGAGACTGAAGATTTGGAAAACAGTAGGATAAAATGTTTTCAGAAGTTTCGTGCCTTTGTTGTTTGCACGATATCAAAATGGCAAGCTTGAAGGACTTCATCATTTCTCGAATGCTGATCGGTCCCACAGGGTGAGCACTGTCGCTTTTGGCTGCATGTCTGAATCACTGTCCCCCACTTTTTTCCATGCGACATTCAACTCCGCAGCATATTTTTTGTTACAGTTCTTTGCGATCAATTCGATGATTTCGTCCTTCTTCAGAAACTGATAATCAGATGGTGACTTACGAATAAGTGACAAAGCTGCTTCATGCTTAAACACCACATCTATTTCAGATCCTCCTTGGCGACATTTCCCTTCCAGCTTGTATGTCAGTCTTGCAATACAGTTTTTTTTGTTAGGTTATACAAAGAGTATTATTATGCCTTGTGTAAACATGGGAGAATGGTCAAAAGCTTACCCTGTGTTCTCTCCACGAACTTTGCAGATGCTTTTTCTGTATATAAACCTTGGAATGTTAATCAATGTCATGTAAGTAACCTGTTGCAAAAACTGTCAGATGTATTATACAGGTAAACAGATGGAAATAAACAGCTGTTGTCAATGCTGGTGTTTGTTCGTTTACCTCTGTGAAATCTGACAGGTCCTCCATCCTTTCTTTTATCTCTCTCAGCGATTTCTTTTGCAGTTGATTGCTCAGCAGGTGTCCAGTTTTTTTGCAAGTAGCATCATCGATGAAGTATACTGGTTTGCGACATGCAAGAAAGCTACACGTTGAAAATAAATGTGTAAGTATCACTAACTCGATAGTAGTTGAACCAATCAGTTGGGTAAACCAATATACAGCAACTCACATGTTCATGACATCCTTGCAGCAGTCTTGATAAGAATGGATGATGAGCTTGCTTGCAATTGTGGATTGAAATTCATGCTGATACTTACTGTTATGTCTAGGAGTTACTCTACTAACTGATCTGATTGTCACAATCAGTGGTAACTTTGACTCAATTGCTGGAGCATTCTTTTGAAAATCATCAATGTCATGGCCACTGTATTCAACATAAGCCTTTGCCCCACTGATTGCAAACCAATGCGTTAACTATACATTTTGACAAAGTAAGAAAAAGTGTACAATCTTAAGTGCATACCAGACATCTTGTATGAGCAGGTCGAATTTCTGAATCCTTCCTTTAATTGTTTCTGGATGAGTTAGCCTTCTAACACATCCTGTAACATCTATAGATTTAATGTTTGTTATGCTTTGTTTAATGGTGTTCTTAATCATGGATAGAGAGACATATATTTACCTGAATGGCAGACAAAGTCTTCTGATAGTTGAGGCACAATGGAAAAATCGGCTGCTGTGTATGATCCTACTGGGAATTGACTGGGGTCCATTTCCTTCTTCAATGTGTCTCCTAATTTGATCTGAAGTGAGGAGCAGGCGTAACTCTCGATGGACAACGCGTTGCACTGACCTTGCTGGACCTGCTACAATATCTTGTAGTTCATGCAGGCAACCAACCTTAATTTTCTGAAAAACCTCAGATGCATCTTCTTCTTCAACTTGTGCTTCGATCAATTTGTTCTGTAAAGTCAATGGTAGATAGATATGTTGTCAATAGTTTTTGTTCTTTTAGCATTTGGCAGTAGGTTAATTGATGTCCAGTGTTTGTATATTGGGAAGTTCTTTTGTCCTAACACTGAATCAAATGCTCTGACGAATATTTATGAATATGGTTGGGGTATCTGGAGTCAAACCTTTTTGTCAAGCCAGAGCATGTGATGTGTCCTTTTCTTCCATGTGGATAAAGGCACTTCTCGGAACTCAGTCCATGTAACGACATGTCTTGCTATAACGGTTCGATTGTTTGTTCCCAAACGCAGTCCCCGAAAGCACATGCTTGATTCAATAGACTCTGCAATCCGATTAAAGACGAATCGATAAATAATAAATGGGAAAAACTTGCATAGGAATCGAGATGCGCTTGTCGGATTTCTTTCCAGATTCAATGTATTTACCTTTCAGTTCGTTCGGGTCCATTTTGTGTGGGTCCACGGAATCTCACGTATCAGTTGTACTATACAACTGTAAATCTGTTGGGTAGAAGAATGCTTCCAGTTCTTCGAGATCCTGGTTTCCCTTTTTTGTTTTTATCTTGACTGCGCGGTTGATTTTAGAAGGCATAAAAAACAATCGGTAGTTTATGTAAGCTAGGGTTAACTTAGGGTAAGTCCTTTTTGGATCGATTGTTTGGGCCTTGACATCGTGTTTGGGCTCTGTATGGTATGCAATGGGTTCTAACTATTGAATCAGGCCTTTTTACAGAAAAGGCTACAATACGCTCCTGCGATGAATGTCTGTCAAGTTGTATCAGTTGGGCTCATCGATTTTCTTTCTAAGTTCTCTCTGGATAGTCCGAACCGATGTTAACTGATCATAACTCATGACTGCTTTCTGGCTTTGAGTTTCGAAATAATAAACACAAAACGTGTCTCTTGTTAAGAACAACGCAAGAACTGGAAGAACAAATTTTCCCAGGCGTAAAATTCAAAAAGTTGGGAGAGTTCATAATAATCACTTTGAGCTTCTTCGATGCTTCCAAAATTAACCAGGTGCAATATCTGTGAAGGCTTCTGAATATACAATGTTTCTCGTGTAACTGGCTGGAATGTTCTCTTCATTTTCAATCAAGAATCTCAAACCACCTGCAGATCTTACTCTTGACGCTGCCACATAAAGCTGTCCATGACTGAATACTGGTTTGGGCAAATAGACTCCAACCTTGTCCAGCGTTTGACCTTGGCTCTTATTTATAGTCATCCCATAACATAACCGTACTGGGAATTGCCTCCTCTTCAGTATAAAGGGCCAGCGTTTGTCTTCTACGTTGAGTACTATTCGTGGTATAACAACCTCTTTTGTGTCAAAAGATCCTCCCATGATGTTTCCAACAATGATATTTTCCCCCAATTTCGTAATCAATATCCTCGTACCGTTGCACAGGCCGTTTGGTGGGCTCAAATTTCTCAGCAACATGATCGGAGTGTGAACCTTAAGTCTTATTTCATGATCTGGAACACCATTGAACTGAAGAGCATTCAAAAATTCTGTTGGGTAAGTTTCAGCAAATAGCTGAGGTACCTCTGTATCAAGTTGCATAGAGTCTGAACTGTAGTAGCAACGGCAATGTCCAGGAATTTTTTGCAACATGAAGTCATTCACTTCAGTCACAACTGCATTAGTAGGAGTAACGATTGCCCTTCCACTTAGGTAATCTGTGCTCATGTGTTGTTCCTCAAATGTGTCATATATGTCATTTGTGATTGACTCGATTGGATTTTTTCCAGCATATATCAAGAGTATTTGTGGTATCTCAATCCAATCTGAAGGTGTGTTAGCCATAAAGGATTTTGTTGGAAGCCTTCCATCTCCTAGCGCCAGAATCCACTCACCAAAGTTCATTCCACAGCCGACCAGGTTTCTATTATCCTGTGAATCATTAAGCCTCATGTTCCTTGACAGTTTGAGCACTTTAAAAAAGGGCCACAATGATGACCTTGTGATGGATCCATCCACTGTTTGTTCCCTTCCTGAATCTGAAATTACTGGTAGGGTCTGTCTAAAATCACCACCAAAGACTACTGTTTTCCCTCCAAACAACTTGTGTTTTGGACCTGATAGTGGTATGTCCATCAATCACAAAACGTCCTGCTTATAGCCTCAAATGCATTTCGATGTGTCATCGGTGCTTCGTCCCAAATAATCAATGAAGATGCACGTATTAGCTCAGCTAAATGAGTACCTTTCTTTATGGAACATGTAGATGCATGGTCTATATGAAGGGGAATCTTGAACCTTGAATGAGCAGTTGTGCCGTTTGGTAGTAGTGTGGCTGCTATTCCAGATGAGGCAACAACTATAGCAATTCTGGAAAGACTTTTTAATTTTGCAATGATTGCATTGTAGAGAAAAGTCTTGCCTGTTCCTCCATGGCCATATAGGAAAAATGAAGTGCCAAGGTTGTTGTTGATGGAGAGAATAATGAGTGTGAAAGCCTCTAGCTGTGTTGTGTTCAGTTTGCTAACCCTAGTATTTGCCAGTAACCTTTGTTGATCATCATCAAAGTTAAGATGCTCATTAATCAGGGGATTTGATCCATCGTCAGGTTCTGAATCTGTCGGTCTTGGGAGATGTAATTGCTGAAGTGAAGAACCATAAGTCCTCAGTAAAGTTTCCAGCTGATGTAACACCCAATTCTTAAGTCTCTCATCTGAAGGCTGGAAAGTTTTTGAGTGTAGCTGTTTACGAAGAGAATAAACATGATCTTCACTCATTAACCTCCATGAAGATTCAAATAGAGCATTAGGATCAGGTATCTCGCAGAACATCAGCATTGAAACAAATGTAGTTCGAATTATGTGTGGCATACTTGATGCTGCAATTTCTTGTAATACCTGAATCCATTCTGAAGAGTCCGACAGAAGCCCCAACTTTTGACATGCTCTTTCATAAGTACTACAAACCTCCCCTTGTATTGTTCTTAAATTGAGGAAGCTTGTTACTCCTCTTACTTTGGTCAATAGCAGCCTAAGAAAGAATATATCATCACTTCCTGGAGGAACATATGCTATCCTTCCTATTGCGAAACCTCTTTTCCTTGGAGTCCATTCACTGTATTCTTCATTCCATGTAAAGGAATTTGGTATCTGAGCATATGTAAGCTTTCTTGCATTGCAATCATGTCTGTTAAGTTCAAACCATGAAGTAAGATGAGTTTTGCCTGCCCTTGGATTTTGCAAAACATTTTGAATATTTGACCTTCTCTTGTATGAAACATTCTGTTGTCCATCCATGTGTACACCAAGTCGAACCACATTAGGCTCTCTGTGGTGTATAGAATACTCGTTGATTCTCCATATAGCTTCGTATGAGGACAGCGACCTGCAATCAATGAACTCTTGTATCTCGTCTTTGGTTTTTTTTGTTATATTTGATGGCACCTGAACTGAGCTTGTCGAGTCTTCTGCAACAATAAGAGATCTATCTGGTCCTTTAGTAATGTACTTAAATAAGTACTTCACTAAGCCTCCCTTGTGACATATCTCCACATTAATATGGGCTTGAGCTCTAACCAATAAGTTCCGATTGTATGGAACGACATATCTATTATCCAGCATTGCCTTTCCTTTTTGAACCTGAATGCCAGAATTTCTTCTTCTGTACACGATATTGCCAAACTTGTCGAACGAAGTTTCTGAACAGAATTCTTTTGGAAAATACTTCGAACATTTACCATCTTTCATACATGGTGAAGTGGGGTTGTTAACACCACAAGGTCCATGAATCATGAACTTAACCACTGCAGCATACCCTTCTGGATCTAGATTGGGGTCTGGTATCTCTGCAGAAATCATCTCATCAATGTTAGATGTTGACTTTAGCTTATCCTCTTTGGCTAACCATATAAGCATATGGACATGTGGGAGGCCCCTCTTCTGAAACTCAACTGTGTAGATTACTGCGAAAAAACAGTCCATCATTTGAACTTGATAGCTCATTCAAATAATAAAAGAAATTTTATACAATGAAAGGTCATCTACAGGTAACTCACTGGCTATCGTTTTCCCGAAATATGATTCTCTTTTAAACTCGTCAATTAATATGGCAAGCTTCATGTGAAACACACGGCAGACCACCATAGGCTTCAACTCGCTGTTTGGTCCAACCATATCTGCAAAAGCATCAACAATTTCTTCCCACAGAGCATTGCAGGTAAATGTAACAAATAAATCTGGGTTACCATAATGTTGACAGGTTGCCATGGCATCATGATATAGTTGCTGCATATATCTTGGTCCTCCTGTATAAGATGATGGCATTATAATTCTTCCAAGTTTTTCTCCATCCATGTCTCCCTTTGCAAATGCATCCTGCAACCCTTGATAAACTTCTACTCTTAAATCTTTTTGATGAGTTCTAAGAAATGCCAGGAGATTGAGTTCAATTGTTGAAAATGCATCCACACAGTAATGTTGCAATGCCTTGCCACTTTGAACCAGTGTATGCCCCTCATTCAATCGATACTGAAGTCTAAAAGCATAATACTCTTTTTGAGTAATAAATTTTATGCGCATTGATGCTGGACAAAAGGAGGCATTATAAGATATTTGAGGATGAAACCCATCTTCTCCGTACGGGAATAGCAATGGGAAGTGAAGAGCCTCGAATTTTGGGTTGAGGCTTGTTATACGTTTCAGCCCTTCTCCTCGATGGTCAACAATGATATCTCTATCCTCCCTATCTGCAACAAAATCACCAGGTATTAAGGCTGCAATATCAGAGCTAGTTGGCAAGTCATATTTTCGATTCCTACTTTTGATCCCAAAGATTCTGAGTCGGAGATTTGGTGTGGAAGAAAGCAGGAGATCTTGTCGAATGCGCCTAAATGTTCTGACCAACTCGTTGTTTTCATCAAGCATTCGAAGCAAACTTGCAAGTAACTCAGGCAGCAAGACTTCCTCTCGAGATGCGAAGTTTGCAAGTCTATTGTTAACCTCATTTTCAGGTTCAAATATATATAGCTGAGCAAACTTGGGCCTATTTCCATCAACTGGAAGTAAGGATCCAATCCTATGGTAATTCTCACCACAAATAACCATCGAATAAGGTCCTCTTGTTGTCAAAGAGCGTGGATCCATTTTGGCTCCAAAAGATGTGAAACACAAAGAACCATTGTAGGGTCTAATGTTGTCTCTAAAATGCTTTGACATTGCACCTCCATTAAGATCCAACAGCTGAGCAAGCAATGGAGGTGGTGGCTTTAACAGGGGAATGCAAACTCTTCCTTTCTGACAACAAAGACTATACACAGGATTTAAGGATTTCCTGTGTCGATCCAATCGTTCAGCATACCAAAAAAAAGCACCACAGAACTGACATACACAGTCAGGTTTTCCAACGCTCATCCTATCATTGTGCAATGGCTTCCTTGCAGTTGGGACATCAGCTGATGCTTTCTTTGCTTTTTGATATTGACGATCATTTGTAGCTAAACTGCAAGATGCCTCATCACCACCCATTTCTGTATAAGGATCTGGAGGAACGAACTCACTGTTGTGAGCATTTGTCGACTTTGAAATTTCCCCTGAGAGAATGAACGGCAGGCTTCTCAATCTCTTGTTTACTCTGGTGTTATCCACGTTCATATCTGTAAAGCTTTGTGTTGAATTCCTGGAGGATTCGATTGTGAAAGAAGTGTCACCTCTCTTTCGCCTCAACAGGTTGGAAGTCGCTCTCTTCTTTCTAGGTGTCATTCTGATTACATGAAGTAAATGTTTGATATCCAGTCAGACTTAAATGAGCCAAAAACAAAAGTTCAATAACTGCAAACTTCAGTGTTCTGTCTTGGTCAGACAGACAAAGAAGAGGATCCAAATCATTTAAAGAGGTTCCATTAATGTGTAACTGAAGAATAACGAATACAGACATGCTTAACTGTATCTGATGACGTGGTCTATATCACCAATGATGAGTGTCTCTGACTTGTAGCTCCAAACAGCTGATCATAAGGTCTTACCTTGCTGTGTACTCCAGCTGATACTTCACTGAAGGGAAAAAGTCGACACAAACAGAATTACTTGCTAAACACAGGAGCAAAAACCAGAGGGCAAAGAGAAAGTTGAAGGTCCATTGACGAAATCTCTTTGATATCTGATATGTTCCTTGATAAGATATTATACAATGAATATATAATTTTATATCAGGTGTCTAATCTCTATCCAAGTAGTCATTGTGACTGCTGGTTCTGTAACCAAGGGTAAACAATGATGGCTTTTGCATTTAATGCTTTAGATTTTGGGCACATAATTAACCCAAATTATTTAAATCTTGCAACCCAAAAGATTCCTTTTAATATTAGCACATGTCTGCTATCCATTACTAATCTCGCCTGTTCTTATCATATTTTTCTTGTGGACAATGCTTACTCTTTCCCATCACATGATGTAAAGAACATTTTTGTGATATTTGCATATACATACTGTTAAGACATAAATGTAAAACATAGGCACCTTAGATAAAAACTATATTCCTTGATAATACATAAAAACTGCTGAGCATTCACATTCTACAAAAGAGGGACCAAAAGGCCAGAATTTTGCCCACACTGGGGTCACAACATTTCAGGTGTCCAAACTGACCACCCTGATTTTGCACAGAAAATTACATGCACTTAAAACTTACACCTCATAAACAGATACCCGAAGTACCATTAGTTTTGTCTAGAAACCAAAAACATAATTTCCACAAAGTTGCCAAAATTAGTCAAGAAAGGCAAGAACAAAGTTTACAAACAGGTTCCCCAGAAGTTTACAAAAGAGCTGCAAACCCTCCAACCAGCACAACTTCAAACGATCAACAACATAATCATCCTGCCCACCATCAAAAGGACTTCTTCCTTGCAGCAAATCCAGCATCCACAAAAGGCAACCACCTTTCCTGCACCTAGCATAACTTAGATCCAGTAAATAACATAATCAATCAACATCCAAAACTAATAAAATACACATAAAGGGATCAGACTCGAATTTATACCCTAATATTCATACAGGCGACGCTTAGCAGCGGAAGGCTTCCCAGGCGCCCGGTGTGAATCTTGGTCAGCAAGCGAAAAAGGGGACGGACTTTCTTTTTCCCTTCGTCCCTCCAGGTGACACTGAGTCAACAATCTTTTCCTTTCCTTTGGATGAGCTAGATTTGTAACAACAAAGATTAATAATTAGAATAACCCAAACCCATACCTAAATCCCCGTAATTAACTAACACAAACATAACATAGAGCAAAGAACGCTCACCTAGATGGTATGGCAGCAAAAGCTGAAGCTGCGAAAGGTACACCTAGAGCAGGCAACATCAACATTCCTTCCTGACCAGAATAGGACTGACTTAGGGTTTGGGACGAAGAAACACTGCCTGTGACATCTGGAACTCCTGTAAGACCAAGCACTGGGCCCTGAACATCACGGGGCATAACTCGGAAAACACGGAATTCACCCGTAGATACTCCACTTGACCCAACCATCGGAAGCTTGACCTCAAACCTGACAAACTGGCCGAGCAAAGCCTCAAGTTCAGGCGACAACTGGCCAGACCTGTGAGGATATCTCTGGGCCAGCAGTTGGGCAGATGTGAGCACCAAATTGTTCCCACATGGGCCGAAAATAATGAAAGGGGCCTCGTCAGTGGCATCACGCAGGGTCAATCGGATCTTGTAGCTAGAGACGACACAGTAAAAAACAGAGACAATTCCATCATGATAGGCGTGGGAGTGCAAACTAAAAAAAGTAGGCAAATTCTCTAAGACCTGACAGGCACACATTGAAATAAACAAAAACAACAACTAATGATCAGACAAAACACACACCCAACTGTCACTTGCTGCTCAGTGATCTCCCAATGGTCAGGACACCAGTAGTTACCATTTCGCCACGTAGAACACTTTTTTCTGCACATGCTGCATGACATGTAATACCACGGGCTCCGGGACTCAACTGATCGGACTATACCACCGCAACGATGCTTTTCATCCTGAATATAAACATTGATAATCCCAGAAAGCAATAAACAAACATAAATAAATGGACAACCCGAAGACCATTCTAAAATCAAGAACTACATCAAAATGCAACTCACTACAGAAGCACCGCCATGGTGCAAATCAAGAAGCTCAGCTATTGTCCTGGTTCTCCGCTCAGCATCAGCAACAACGTCCCCTGGGGTCGCAAACTTGACCGGCAAATCAGCAACAGGAACTCTGGATCCACCAAAACTGTATAGATGGACACAAAAAAGTAAAGCAAACCAAACACGACAAAGCAAATCTGGAACAACAAAATCACAGTTTAACAACAAAGAACCCACAAAGCAGCGAGACTGTATGCTTCTGGTATCCTCGGGCTAATAACTATACGGGTTCCAGAGGAGCTCGAACAGGAATATTCACCAGCTACACAACAAAAACAAAATCAGATCACAATTTATGATCAAGCAGAATGGAAAAGAGTCAAAATACACACCTATCAAACGGCCAACTATGAGCCCCCCAACTCCAACGATCACTGGCTCAATGGAGTCCGCCTGAATCAAAGCAGGTCGATCAAGGACTGCCGTCAGTTCATTCCACAGCGTGATCGACACTCTCTGGCCCCTGACAGCAAAAAAAAGGATCATATCTTACGTGACGGTGACGAAACAGTATTCCCCAGTGGAAAAATAAAATAACACAAAAGACCTACTGTGCATTCTCAAGGACCAGAACTTGTTTTGGAGTCGAGCCGTGATTAGTAACCTGATGATCAATCCCGCTAATAGAATGAAGACGGCCGACAACATCTGACCGAAAAAAAAGAGCAGTAAGAAGACATAAAACCCAATTCATTTCAGTCAAGAAAACGCAACAGTCACCTGCAAGGATACGATTGTCCCCTGAACGGTTAGACAGTTCACTATAAGGAACAACCTTAAAGGAATCAGTTGGAAATTCAGCTGCAGGTAGAGAACAGGCCTGGAAAATAGTTGTTGCTGACAACTCTATTATCAGATCAAATGAGCAAGCACGATAGAGATTCCTTGCGGCACTGAGACCAAAAGACCTTAGAACGTAGATAACTCCCACGCGCAGCACACGCTCAAATTCAGACCCAATAGAGACATCAGCAAGGCTCTGAATGAGCATACCCTGAATCAAAAACAAAAAAAGACAGTAAAGAAAGAGCAAAGAAGGAAAAAAAAGAGCAAAAAAACAGAAAGCACTGTAATCACAAAGAATCAGCGTAAGAGAATCTACCGTCTGATCTACCCACAGGCAACAGTGATTAAACACCCTTGTCCCAGAAGGATTCTTGGCATACCACATATGGAGCAGACGAAGCCTCAGAGTCACCTCTCTGGTACCTCCTTTGAGATTGCAGAGCAGAGTAGCATCCATGGCGAGGAAAAAGGCGAGAAAACAACGAGTGAACCACAGAGAACAAAGAGGAGAGTAAAAAAGAGGGAAATGCGTTCCGAGAATGAGTCCTCTTGTGCAAAAAGAATGAGAAATGACCTTCTCCACCTGAGCGCACGCATCGAGGCATGCAAAAAGAATGAGAAATGGCTTTCTCCACCTGAGCGCACGCATCGAGGCACTGAAGGACGTCCACAGTGCTTGAAACAGTGAACTTCTTGACACCCTCCCGCCATCAGGTGAATAACCGGTATCAATCAGCCGCCCACCATTCCCAAAGCACCTCCAATCCCAGCCAATCAGCCGCCAAGTTTCTCCAACATAGTCCTGCGAACAACAACCCAACACGACCCTCTTGGCAATCCCTAAAAGACACAATCATATCATGCAAGACTCACTGAGGACATCTGAAGGCCCCCGTCCCTCAGGTAAATAACCGGTATCAATCAGTTGTCCACCATTCCCAAAGCACCTCCAACCGCAGCCAATCAGTCGCCAAGTTTCTCCAACACAGTCCTGCGAACAACAGCCGGAATCCCTAACAGACACAATGATATCACGCAAGACTTACTGAGCACATCTGAAGGCCCCATCCCACGTGGCCGGACAGGGGCAAAGTCACATACCGATCTCTGATGACCAACGCGCGTCCGGGCCACCAAACGACCGCAACTAAGGCCAACCAGAAGCCAACGACCAGTCCCACCCCGACAGAGCCCCCAAACCCCGCCAGATCCCAATGAGGCCTCACCCAACAACAGCCCACACCGAAGGACACGCCAGTTTGAAACAGTAAATCTCAGTCACGTTGTACAGTAAAAGGTGTCTGTGTGTGCAGTACACGGGCATGCGGCGGGTTTCTTTCTTTCAATTATTTAATGAACAGTGTTTTGGTTAATGATTTGGGGTTAGCGCTTTTTCCAGTGTTATTAAAGCCGAGCTGAGCCGCTCGGCCCAATCGGTAAAACCGCCACCCGGTCACAAAACCGGCTCGGATCAGTCTAAAAGCCGCTTCGGTTTTATGTAGCGGTTGACGAGCGGCCGAGGCGGTTAACTGCTCGAGCCGCTCGTCCGGTTTTTGCCACGAGCCATTAAATTTAATTAAAAAATTGCAGAAAATTGAAATAAACCAAAAACGTCGGGCTCTCAAACTGAATCCTTATTTCCATTTCACAATTTCGAAGGAAAGAGATGAGCTCTGATTAAGAAATGCCCACTATTTATACTGATAAAGTTTATTAGGTACCAGTTCTCTAACGGTTTTTAAACGGTCTAATGCCGGTTGGACCATTCAAGTGCGAGCCGTTCGCATTACCGGGTCATGCTCCGGTTCGGTTCTGACAACATTGGCTTTTTCCGTAAGGAATAGCAAATTAGCGTGGGTTACTCGGCTTTTAATAATTATTATAATAATAATTTGTTCATACCATATTTTGATTTTGATACTAGTATTGTATCCGGCCCGTTGGCCGGTTTGTGCTACTTATGTGTTATTGTGTATTGGATGAGTATGAGTATGAGACAAAATAGTCTAAACCTATATCCTCAACCTCATCAAAAATTTTACAGGTTTTACCTATATCCATCCTATACCCAGTCAATATAGGTATTCCCCATGATTACTCGTTCGAGGCGGTTGGATACCGGATATTACGGGTTTGATTGTCCTCCCTTTGTGATTTTCTATGATATTATGCTAGAACAAAATGCGCATGTTCATCGATCAATTCTTCATATATCGTGATCAAATCGATATTTGGACCGAATAAGATAATATCGAATATATTCAATTCAATTTGGGTCCTACAAATTATTATAAATATGAAGAAAATATGGACCAAAATTGAATTTGGACCGTACAGAATCGAACCAAATAGACCAAACATACTTTTGATTCGGTTATGGTCCTCATTTTTCCTTTGTTTTTGGTTCGGTCCTATATCAATACGATCTAGTTCTGGACCGAGCAGAGATGTCAATAGGTCGGGTTTGGGGCGGATTGTACTAAACCCATCGCCATACCCATTTTCAATTATCAAATCCATACCCTCCCTATCCCCATGCGGGGGAGGATTTTGCATCCCCATCCGGTGGGTTTCAGATACCCGAGGGTAATCCCCGCCTCATACATCTGATTATGATTATAACTAAATTAACACACTTGAATTCAACAAAACATATAACTATTGGGTTGAAACATCAAACCTAATCAATGATGAACCTAATAAAGAATTAGGTTTAATTCACCTGCATAGCCATAACTTTCTCGCTTTTGACAATAATAGCCACTTTTCAAAAAATACACAGATATAGCCACACGTTTAAAATTTGTTTGACAAATTTAGCCACTTCCGTCACATACTTTAACACCGTCAATGACTTTGTCAACTAAACAAAGTTTAGGCTGATGTGGATGCCACGTGGATAACACATCATGTCCACTTAGACTTATCATGCTTAGTGGATGCCACGTCACATTTTAAATTAAAAAAAAACTAATTTCAAATTTTAAAAAAACCAATGCACTTATGCGCTACTACAGACGGCAAATGAATTTCCTTCGCCAAAAAACCTAATTTTCACTTCTGTTCTCCATTCAACTTGTGTTCTTCCAAAATCCAAACTCCCGCTTTTGTTCTTCCTTCCGGCGACGGATTGGCCGTACTATGTCGGTACCTTTGCAATTCGGATCTCAGTTGGGACAATCTCGAATTCTTCAGCGGATGGAACTAACGAAAAATCGGGTACATTCTTCCAATTCTCGTTCGCCGATTCCAATTCATTTTTTCGCGACCCAGTTCTTCACGGTGTTGCAATTGACGTCGCATACTACTGATGACAAAATCGATGGATGGCGGCGAGGAGGTGGTTGCTGACAAAATCTCCCAACCATCGAGTTTCTTTCACAGGACACCGCCGCTGAAGAAAAATCCCTCTATGCCCGAAAACCCTAATTTCATAGAGAGATTCCTCTCTTACGATTCCGCTGTGGTTCTTCTTTCTTCCCCCAACACACAATCTCTCGGTTCTTCACCTGTAGTCCAGAATCGGAGTCTCTGTTCACTCCCATGGTCGGATCGACGGCGGCGGAGCCCATGAACTTTCGATCCCAGTGCTACTGATGCGAAGGAAACCCAAATTCTTCATTGACCTAGTCTACAGAGTAAGTAAGCAGGGTGTCAGGATGGATCGATGATTGGATGGCATCCACAATCCACATGGAAGTTGGGATTGAACAGAGAAATAAGAGGAGGATGAAAAAATGGAGGTGGAGAGAGAGAAATAAGAGGAGGATGAAAAAATGGAGGTGGAGAGAGAGCGGCGCCGGAGCTTCGATAGAGATGTTGAGGTGAGTTCTGTGAAAAGAGGGGAAGTTGAATCCCTCTTCTATTTTTTTAATTCTTGTTGTTTAGTTAATTATAATAAAAGGGATTTTTCCAAGTGGCAATT